CCTAAACCCTAAACCCTATACACCCAGGCCCGAAGCCCCTATGCCGCAACCGAAAAAACGGCTACGCCTATCCTAAACCCCCAACCGTTATCCGAACCCTAATTCAGACCCCGAAAACTTAAACCCTAAACCCCTAAACCCTGAACCCCAAGACCGCAAAACCCCTAACCCAAACCCCGAAACCCTAGAGCAAACTAACTTCTTCCACAGGCTCCAGTGGGTCCTCGCACCCCATGAAGCTGCAAGTCAAGGCACCTCTGGCCTTCTTTAGGGTTTAGGGTTTAGGGTTTCGGGTTCAGGGTTTAGGGTGAACCCTAAACCCAATATAAACCCTAAACCCGGTTTCATACACGGGCCGTAGCGCATAGAGTAGGGTTCGGGTCTTGAGTTCCTTTAAAGAACCGTTTAAAGCCGTATAGAACTCTCTTAGGAATTTTTCCAGGAACCTCAGGAACCCTTACAGGAGCCCTAAACCGGTTTAGGGTCTAGGATTTAGGGTTTAGGGTTTAGGGCAAGTTTAGGGTTTAGTGTCTAGGATTCATAGGGTTTAGGGTGTAGTACCTGCTCTCTATGGATTGGCCTCAAGCTTTTGATTCCCTGGAGACCGCCTTGTCACCTCATGCGAGCCGGGTTCTATCATTCCCCAGCGCCAAAGTCCTTGAAGCCCCATCCAGAACGGTTTGATTAGGGTTTTATAAAGGTGTCAGGGCTTAGGGTTCCTTGAAGGGTTCAGGGTTTCTTTAAAGGCACCTTTTGGGCCTCCCTAAACCCTAAACCCTAAGCCCTAAAACCCTAAACCCTAAACCCTAAACCCTAAACCCTAAACCCTAACCTAACTTTTCTTTACAGGCTTTAGGGCTCGGATGCCTGTGGCCTCGTCAAGCCCTGAGCCCTAAAGGCCCTAAAGAGACTACAAATTATTCACTCAGGATTTCTTTATATACGTCCTTAGCCGGCTTTCTTCTTATTCTTATTATTTTCATCTTAGTGTTGTATGTTTAATTGTGTTTTTAACTTATTGTCATTGTTGTTGCTATTATTATTATTCTTACTATTGTTATTATACATATAAGTATTATATATATATATATACACATGTCTACACATACATAAACATGTTATATATATATATATAGAGGGTTATAGTAGAAGCCAGAAAGTTGGAGCAGCATTACCCTCATGCCCTCAAGGTAAAGTAAAGAGTGCCAGCACTAATCATCCTAAACACATGTTCGGACTGTCTGGGGTTCACAAAAAAAAAAGGGTTTAGGGTTTAGGGTTTAGGGTTTAGGGTTTAGGGTTTAGGGTTTAGGGTTTAGGGTTTAGGGTTTAGGGTTCACTATAAGGCAAGCCAATAAGACCTGTCCAGGCCGGCTATGAAGAGCGGCGCATCTACATTGGCAACCTACCTGCAAAGGCCGGGTTTTCCCGACAACCCTAAACCCTAATCCCTATAACCCTAAACCCTACACCCTAAACCCGAAACCCTAAACCGTATAACCCTAAACCCTAAAACCGGGTTTAGGGTTCGGGCTGTTGCTCGGATATCTCGGAAGTAAAATTAGTACGGCTTAAAGCAAGTTGATATAGTGCCCCAATAGGTGGATATCTTGGTCTTAACTTCAATCTCCAAGGCCCATCCTTCTTTGCCGGAGTTCTGCGATAGAACCCTATACCCTAAACTCTTTGGACTTATTGCAGAGATGTTACTTTATGTCGGGCGCGCCAAGGCAAGGAAAGCGCAGAGCTCCGTTTAAGCAGCTAGGTTTGTAAATAAGGTAAGTCTACAACAATTGCCCATGACCCCAAGTATATAAGGTGCTTATGACCTTGCGTACTAGGTCCCATGATCCTCCATGCACATGGGTTTGGGAGGAGGGGTTGGTGTAGTCCTCTAGACTCCAGATGAGGCTTCAGGTTTAGGGTTTTATTAATTTGGGTTCAGGGTTCAGGATCTTGGGTTTGGGTTTAGAGTTTTTTTGTCTTCGCCTCCCTGAAGCTTGACATCCCGCGCCGGGCCTATTTCACAAAGCGTTTACATGTCACTTCTCACAGCCATATTGCTGAGCCCTGAAGTCAGTCAGTAGGCGAAATATTGCACCCCCGCGGATTGAGGTTCCAGACGTTGGTTCGTTCGGTTTCGTCTTCAAACTTTCAGGCTCTGCGCCCTAAGCCTAAACCCTTCTAAACCCTGAGCCCAACCCTAAACCGGGATTGCGGCAATTTCCTTGGGCCTTGTACGATCGTCAACATGCACGCAAGAACGCCCTCCGGAGGCCCCATGAAGCCTACAAGAGACACTGAGTCCAAAAGTTGCTGCGTGATCACGTTTTTCGGGATTTGGTGTCACCCAAAGGGTCTAAGTACTTCTGTGGTAGATACTTTGGGGCCCAAAATATCTACTATATGGGTACTTAGACCCTCTGAGTCATATTTTGCAATTAGTATTTCCAGCTGCAGTAACATCATCGCCAATGTCATCTCTATGATTATGTGCATGTGTGTTATGATAACACTGATGATTGTTCCGGATGTACTTACTGCTATCAGCCGTGTCACCATCGCTTGAGTTCCTGTCTCCATCGTCTCTTCGGCTAGTTTCGCCATCGAGCGCCCTACATAAGCTGCAACCCTCGTGGTGGAGTCGGCTTCCACACCCACTGCGCCACGAGGTTACAGAGGACGACATCCGACATCATTTCCATACCTTTGGGGAGATTGAGTTTGTGTCTCTGAAGCACAAGACCAAGGACACTTGCATGCTTGGGGGGCTGTGGGATTTCAGGGTTGAGGAAGCAGGGGCCGGATCCGTTATTCAAAGACTTATTTCAATGTGGCTAACGTAGGAACCTGATTAAGAAACCCAGGGCCTTTATCAGGGTTCTTAAGATGAACGCTAATATATTGGGGTTATGGAGCCAGGGTTTCCTAGTCAGGTTCCTACATTATTAGGGTGAAGTTTGAAGACACTAGGCCAGGAGTTCTCCCGTGGTTGACACAGGTGGCTCACTAGCTTTGTGTAAGGGATCCGAGAACTTCCAAGCACCGGCACCCTTGCGTCCTAGCCGCTGCGCTACTCCCCCAACCAAGGCGCAACAGCTGATGCCACCTTAAACCTCTGCACCCCAAACCCTCGACCTTGGGTCCAAGCTGACCGAACACGAATGTTGCGGACCTTAACGAACGAGGTTTGGTCAATCAGGAGGTTGTAGGATTCCTGGTTTTCGCTGCTGTGAATGTGCTCATGATGTGTTTAGGGTTTAGGGTTTAGGGTTTAGGGTTTAGTGTGTTTGATGCTGATGAAGGTCATGCTCACAAAAACAATCTCGGTTTGGTGATGGTGGTGCCGTTTTGGTTACCACTACCGAGTTGGCTAGTTCCGGTCGGCAGTTGGGTTCGTGTCTGAATGCTGCCCGTTTTCAAAGCCAGTGTCATCGCCAGCAACTGTCCCAAAGGGACCAAGGACTAATATGGTAGCTACATGTAGCCACTTTGCAGGTATTTGGGACCCAAAGTATATACTATACTATATACCATAACTTGGACCCTTTGGGTATTAACAGCACGCGCTGCCAAACAGCAACACAACCTTAGAAGTCCGCTGTTGCCAAATCCTGATCCCTGACCCATGTGACCCCAAGAAACCCACAACTGAAACAACCGAAACCTCACCCTCAACCCTAAACCCGAAACCTTAAACCCCAAACCGCAAACTTTGAAGCCCTGAAGCTTCAAATCCTCTGTCTGACCCTAAACTCCCAGAGAGCCCTTCATGTGATTTCGGATGATTTATGGTAGTCTGCTGAAGGGGCTCTCTGGGCATCCCAAACCCGGCACTGCAAACCTCCAAACTCTAATGTAGGGGCCTTAGTAACTAGAATAGGGTTCTGGGGCCCATTTGGGTCCAGTATACTAGAATTACAATAAGAAACCTCCAAAATACTATAGGTAATTATGAAGGCCCCTAAATATTGCGTTCCTTGATCCTAAATCTCGCAGCCTGCGAGCCCTAAAACCACAAGTCGTGCCCCAATTCCTTAACACGGTAATCCACTGGGATCTTAGAAATCTCCCCTAAACTACCAACCCCTACCTCGACCCCAAAAGCACATAGATTAGTAGCCGTTTATAGGTGTTGGGCCAGTATTTTACCTACATTTGGGTGGTTTAGGGAATACACTAAACCCTAATGCCATACCCGAAACCTTGAACCTTGACACTAAACCTGAAACCTTATAAATTCCTGGCCCTAAACCCTAAACCCTAAACCTTAAACCTTAAATTCCCTCCAGGAGCAAGAGAGCTTCTGCTTCCTCGGTTTCGATAGCGCCGGAGCAGCCAGCAGCGCCATCCGGCAGATGGACGGGCAGAGGGCTCGGAAAAACTTTCTCAACTTTCTTTCTGGGTTTAGGGTTTAGGGTTTAGGGTTTAGGGTTTAGGGTTTAGGGTTTAGGGTTGGGGTTTTAGGGTTTGAGGGTTTTGGTTTAGTGATTTAAGCCTTCAGGCTTTTGGGCTTGAGGATTTGAGGTTTAGGTTAGCGTGTAGGTTTCAGGATCACAGACATGTACTCCCAAGTCTGCCTTACCACGTTGCACAGACTATGCAGCCATACAGTACTATCGACATGCTGCTGATATTTGTCACTGTTCCTATGGCTATGGTTCAGAGCTGCATGTCTTGTTGTCGTTGAAATCTTCGCGATTCTTGCAGTAGCTGGTCAACATCACCTTCATGACATGTCGGCTAATATAGGGGCCTAAATAATTACCTATACTATTTTTGGAGTTCCTTACTATAATTCTACTATATTATGCCCCCAACACCCTACTCTAATGTGTAAGGCCCCTACACCCCAAACCCCTTATCGTAGCCCGTACAGAACACTTTAAGGAACCCTTTAAAGGAGCNNCTATTTTAATTCTTATAAGGCCCCTATAGTTTCGGTACCTTTCCTGCTGGCCGTGGGTTCAGGTTTAGGTTTTCTCGAAGGCTTGTAACCCTGGGGTCTATGGGGCTTGGAGGATTAGTCCGATAAGGGCTCATAGTAACTAGGAGCCAGAGAGTTTAGGGTCTTGGGGGTTTAGG